GCATTGGATGCCAGCAAACAATGACTCAAGAAATCCCTACCTAAGGACCTGCGGCAGAAGATGCTCTGACTCGACTCCTGGCACGCCACCTGGTTCGAGTCCCCGACTACGCAACAATTCTCAGGAGAGAGAAGAGGACGCATAGAAAAATAGTTTTTTAGAATCAAAAGGAACCTTGGTCAGCATATAACAATGCCCCAGCATCTCCTTGACTCTGGTGCCCTCAGAAGTAGAAAAAAAATGCGTTCGGACTTGTTTCTTTTTTTCCGGGGGGGGGGGGGGGGGGGGGGGGAGTATTTCTCAGGAAATGTAACGAAATACATTTCATCCTGATTGTATCGCGATACAAAAAAACATACCAAATGTATTTCGATACAGGAATAAAGATACCGGTGAAAAAAATGTATCGCAATACAGAAATACAGATACGAAATGTATTTCTAAAATACTATCGCGATACATTTGTATCGCTATACTGCCCAACCCTGCTAGCAACTTATGAGTATCTAAAAAAAAACGATGTAACTGCAGTTACATCGTTTTTTTTTTAGATACTCATAACATATTAGTCAACTTTCAACATGGATTTAAAAGAAAACTGTCGACCACTACTCAACTACTTGCAGTAGTACACGATTTTGGCCCGCATCACCTACTACTAATAAAATTGCAGCGGGTTGGAATTGCTTTTCGTCTTGTGACATGGATCGGTACTTATTTGAAAAATAGAGCGCAATCTGTTGAAATCACCGGATATCAATCAGTACATCTTCACGTGCTGTCTGACGTACCACAACGGTCGGTCTTAGGACAATTCTTATGTCTAGTTTATGGCAACGAAATAGCCGGCAATATTGACACAAGTGTGACTGTGAAAATTTCTGCTGATGACTGCGTTGTTTATAGAACTGTCAAAAACACGTTGCATCAAGTATCGCTTCACGATAACTTTTGCAGAATTGCCGAATAGTGTGAGAGGTGGCAAATGGTTATTAATTACTCTAAGACACACGCTCTCACAGTAACGCGCCAAAAGTCCCCTCTTAGCCTTGCCTACCACGTACGAGACAAATGCATCCAAACTGTAAACGAGGTAAAGTATCTGGGCCTAAACATTAATTAAAAATTAAATTGGGAAACTCATATAGATAATATAATTGCTAAGGCTTACAAAAGGTTGTGTTACCTAAAACGGAAGCTGGGACCATGTGACTCGTCGGTAAAACTTTCGGCGTATCAAAGTTTAATTCGGCCAGTGCTAGAATATGCGCCCATTGTGTGCGACCCGTACTTAAAGATATCGAAAAAGTTGAGAGTATTCAGCACCTTAACGCGTAATTTATTTCTTCCGATTTTAGGCGCGTGTCATCGCCTGTGTCGGACATGATACATAAATCCGGGCTTGAGTCGCTCGAGTCTAAGCGGAAAATTGCTAAGCTGGTATTTCTTTTTTTCTTTTTATAAACTTTACAATAATGAGTCTTGCCTAGACAAAACGTTATATCTCTTGCCACCTTCCCAGCACTCTGCAAAAGTTAAATCACACAAAAAATGTCAGACCATATGCTCCTAAAAATAACACGTTTAAATACTCCCTTTTTGTGCATACGTTTAATGATCGGAATTCACTGCCCTCCAATAGTGTGCATGCAGCAAATATTGACTGTTTTGACAGTTCTGTTCGAAAATTGATGTAACCGGTTGTGTGCATGCCACAAATATTGACTGTTCTGTGTGAAACCTTATGTAGACCTATTCTGCTTGGATGGTGGAAAACCATCTGCAGTATTTCCTAAATAAAAAAAAAGAACGTATAACCCATCCCACATTCAGTAACCGCAAATTACTGCGTCACGTGATGAGCGAGTCATCTTAAAGTAATGTTTAAATTCGTAAACCAATATTATCGATAGGTATTTTTCGTACTTTACTTATAATGATCAAAAACACTTCATAAGAACCCAGTTACACGAAGTTAAACTTAAACCATTCGTACACGTTCCGTTCCAGTAATAATTATACGGGTTTTGTCTCCCACCTTTCACACACAGTCCAGTGGATGGCCATCCATGCTGCCAGCAGAATATCAGTGCACGTGCATTTAATATTGTTCTTTTGTTTTTTCACAGTGCTTCTGTAGTCTCAAGTTACAAAAGGAGATACATCATATTTGGATTTTTTTAGTTTTTGTTTCAACGTTTATAAGAACGTCTTTCAGTTGTAGTTTGATAGAGCGTGTGGCATGAATCGTAACAGAGATGCCGCGAACTTCTTCGCACCTGGGGCTCGACGATAGCACCTGGAGTTCGAAGATTGAACCAAGGGGTCGAAAAGTTCGAAAAGTTCCGAACTTTTGGACCTTTTACATAAAAAGCTTATCCCGTTTCTGTTGTTGTTTTTCTTGCGCTAAGAAGTTCGATTATTTTTTAACTCTCAAATGTTTCGCGTAATCGGAATTCAACTATTTCTAAACTTTTAAAATTATTGCGATGAAAAAATCGACAATTTTTGTTTGATACCTGCGAAGTTAAATATTTCGACGAACTTCGAACTTTCTAACAAAATATTGACTAGGTATGAACCTTCTTTACACTCAATGGTTTGCACAAAACTATACAAGTATGGAGTGAAGTATACATCGCGTGACGGAGTCCATGATAAGTTAGCTTGCATTCATATTGGTGTTTTTGTGTGCTCGGTTTGCGTATGTGATCCTTGCATGTGATGCGCTCAGTCTAGTGATGACGAGTGTAATGTGTGTGTATTACTCATCGAGGTAGAGGGGCTTACCGCTCATTCACACTGGAAGCGGATCCGCGTTCGCAAAGCGGTTGCGAACGCGGTTGTATAAAGATCCAGTACAAATGCACGCGCACTTGATGTCATCGGGTGCGCGTGCAATTGCACTGGATCTTTATACAACCGCGTTCGCAACCGCTTTGCGAACGCGGATCCGCTTCCAGTGTGAATGAGCGGTTAGAGTGATAACTGGCAGCTGAAAGTGACCCCCACCCGGCCGCCGCCATGTTGCGCATTTTTGACCACTACACACGTGACCTTATAGTTTTGCGTCTAGATGTTAACAAAGTACCGCGCATAGATAACTGCCTATTAATCTTTAATAAAAGTACCGACGAGATAAGCTACGTTTAGTTTGCTTTAAGTCGAAAGTATGCTTTTACGACAAAAACTCGGCTGCTTCGCAGTTGTACAACATGGCGGCAGCCAAGGGGGATGGGGGGGGGGGGGGGGGGGGTCACTTTTGCCTGGTGAACGGAATACTATTTTATCGCTCTGAGCCCATCTATCTTGTTGGTAATAATGTATAAAGTGTACAAGATGCAATGATGAACGCGCGAGCAATGCGAACACTTACGGCGCCTTTGAGTTGGGCACCAGCCAGCACTACCTAGCTTCTTGAGCTAGGTGGCAACTACGCTTTTTTTGCGGCAGTTAGTATTCGTTTCTAGATCAATCTAAGGTTTCTTACGCTTTGTGAATGAGACTAGTTCCGTTACTAACGTCCTTGGTTAGTTACTGTTACGTACACTCCCATTACTAACAGCAGTTTGCTAACATGTTTGTAACATTTGTGACGAGCAGTTACTAAGCTATGGAAATACTTCGACTTTTTTTCTTCCACGGCTGTAGGTGCTATGGGATAGGGGCGCTTTGCTAGTCCTGCCAAAAAACCCTGTATAACGTTTCACTATCTGGATTATATGGAACTGGAAATCTAGCTGGAACTGTTTCTGGAAACCTGAAATCGAGATTGCAAACAAAGGAATAATTTTTGAAAACCTGAAATCAGATAAAATTCACATAGATTAGTTTTATAATCCAGATAGTGAGAAGTTATACTGGGTTTTTGACTAGGGAGGCCGTCCTTCATAACTTAGTTGTTTCTAAAGTATGCCCCCGAATTTACTTGAGTAAGCTATTGGCCGGGGATAGCTTGCTTACAAAAAGTGATATGCCAACGCGTGAAAGTGAACGCCAGATCAGCGCACGATATATATTATCCTTAGTAGTCGGCTACATTTTAGAGTGACCCTACGGGTCATCGATCTTCATTCATCACAGACGAAAACTGCAAAAAATGAGCAATATGGTCAGCCCGATGCACGACTGAAATTTACCCTGTATTTTCGAAAGGCTGAGGACCCCCTAGTTGTGATCTGATTGTGTGCTCCTCACCAGAGAGCAGTGTCGAGTGCTACGCTTGAGTCCCATGTTTCTTGTGTTTTTCCTATTCCAAGGGTGATCCCACCTAAGAAAATAAACTCCCAGAGAAACTCAAACCTATGAAAAGTTATAAATGTCTTTAAATGCGTGCGACGTCCTGGGAAGTTTGTTGTTTCGTGTTAGCATCCGATTTAGTCGTCCGTCGATCAGGCGGCTGTCAGTTTGAAAAGATTAAGGACGTTCACCGGACCGCGTGGAGGTTTTTCCGCTTAACCTTCTAGCCAATTCAGCGCTTGTTTCACGAGCTGGCGGAACTGGTAGCACCGCAAGTACCTCAGTACTAGGAAGTAAGGTGCATCAATAATGCGCACCATTTTTTTTTGACAATTGTCACACATTTTAAAATTTGTTTTAAAAGATATTTTTTTTAAATTGAGAAATTTAATTTTTGTCAATAGAAGTCGAAATCTGCAAACTAAAATGAAAAAAACATTTTTTTAGAATTTGTATTTTAAAAGGAATTCAAAACCTTTGAACTTTTTTACCTTGAATTCTGAAGTAGTAAAAAATCTTCAATTATTTAGGACTAGAATCTTACAAAAAATTCTAAATCTTTGAATTTTTCGAACATAACTTGTAAATAAATATGGCATTTTCTAGCCAAATCTTTCAGAAACCTTTGCAGAGTTCGAAAATTTTAACTTTTCTCGTTCGAACCTCAGTAAGGCTGCCTTTCCAACTCGAAGCTTGTGATGTTGCCGACATCCCTAAACCCTATTCCCTCTGGTTTCTTTCTTCCCTGATCTGTGACGCAGGCCTTGGCGACAGCTGGGGCTCGTGTCCGCCGGCGGCCTCAGCCCGAGACGGCGCCATCAAGGAGCTGGGCTCACACCTCCTGCAGGTCAGCTTCTGCTCGTCCCGCCAACCAATTACTTGAAAGGACTCGTATTTTGTAAATTCAGAAAAACAAAAAAGTGAATTTAAAGTACTCTTCGAATGCGTTTTTTTTTTTTTTTTTTTTAACCCAGCACGTGCGTCGGGGTGGGCATATTGAATTTATCTCCATTCAAACACAGGCTTGAGGTCCAATTTTTTATTTTGACAATCAGAATGTTTTGGGAACACTCTTGAATTGAAAAAGAGCTCAAAAGGCAAGCTTAGCGCAGTTTATTTTTTTTTTTAATTTTTAGTTACTTATCATTAAAGCGGGCGAGGCGAAAACTGACGTTTCTGGCTCCCGTCGGAAATGGCTTGTTTGACCGCTCATTATTTTGACGCTTCTCCAACTGCTGCATGAGTAATCTTCTAGGACACTTATGGAATTGGTGTCATTACGCTTGGTTAAAAAGAAATGTTTTGAAGTATTTTTTTTTAATTGTCAATGTGAAGGGGGGAGGAGGACATTTTTTTCTAATGGCGGCACGCCCACAAAGCAACCCCACCCCCCCTTTCCCCGTTCCAATTCCAACGGCAGCTTCCGGCATTTTGATACTTTAGCCCCACGTTCCAGGGAAAAAGAATGCCGTCGGACGACCAAACAAAAAACGTGCTAGTCGTGTCAAGGACGAACAACATAGGACGTACTTTTGACGTATTTACGGGCGTTTCGTTGGGTCGGGACGAGCGCTTCCTCAGCGTCTCAAGTTTGGCGTAAATACGCTCAAATTCGGCGATCAGACCGAGAATTCGGCGATCAGACCAAATTCGGTGTGGCGTGTCCGGAACTGTACGGCGCGGTGTCAGCCAATCAGCTCGCGAGCTGACAGCCGGAAGTTGCTCGAGGATCGGCTTGCCTAGCTTTGAGGCCGGCTGGCTATAGCTGGCTTGACTCAGCCGCCGGAATGGGCGCTCGCTTGTCACGTTCTGCGGTTTATTAGAGAACTTTACGAAATCGCTGTCTCTTTCAAACAGCATTAAACAACTAAAAACAAACCAAAAAGAAAAAGAAAAACGTCTATGTGGCGGGTGATGTGAACAAAATTATAAAAGGAAGGGTTTTGAGCAAAGATCGCGGTCGTCCTCTTGCAGGAATTTGTTGGTAATGTGGCTATTGCAAGGAGTATTTTTGAGACAAGCGTTTGCAACTTAGGCTTTCGTGGTTGATCACCATCTAGTTATTTCAGTCCCCTTTCGGAAAGCAATAATATATAGAGGCTGATCTACATTTTTCCTCGTTTCATGAAAAGCGCGAGTCTAGCCAAACTGCACCAAACGCCGAAGAGACGTCCACGAAAAGCGCCGCGTGTTCTTTGGCTATCTTCCCCGCATGCCTTCTGTGAAAAAAAAGCGCCGGCCAAATGCCGTGATTACGCTTGCTGAAACGAGCGTAAATATGTCGAGAATACGTCCTATGTGGGTCCACCTTAAGGCTAGTGAAAATATCAGGCGCTTGAGCACACCAGCCATTTCCTGTATACTTCCTCTTTTTGAACTCTTTTTGTTCACGTTCCACCTATTGAAATGCACGGTGAAAGAGCACAAGTGCCCACCTGATCTCTGCGCACCACCCTCTCGTTCCCCACAATAAAGTCCGTCTGCTATGGTCACCCAATATCAATACGCGCAAACGCGAATGCTGGGTCTCAAGCCAGCTACACCTGCGACATATCTTCCTAATGCCGTCTGCTATAAACGCAGCAACATTAGCCTGGTCTCCGAGCTAGGTTTCCAAACAGGCCGCGCTGCGCACGATCACGCTTCGCTTCGCTCCGCTTTGCTCGTCAAAGATTCATTACGATCCCAGGCCTGAGCCCACACTAAGCCTCGTCAGTGCCACCAAGGGTTTGACTGGCAACCGCTTTCCGCTCTCAACGTCGACGTCCACAACGACGCGTCCGACTTCGCGCATACGTAGCCGCGTTCACTTTTGCAGACGGCGTTTGGAACATGGCGTCTGCCGTTGCTGGCGCGTTCGTCCGTAAATAATAAGTTTCTTCGTCGCCATGGTAACGCTGAGCTGACCATAGCAGACCTACTTTATCGTGCGTAAGGAGACGGCGTGGTGGCAAGATCAGGTACGTACTTGGGCTCTTTCGCCGTGCTTTTCAATGATCACAACGTGAACGAAAAGGGTTCGAATAAGGACATAACGCAGAGGGCTGATTTTTTTTTTCCCAGCGCCTAATGTTTTGGTTAGCCTTACGCGAAAAGTATGCCTTCAGCTTGCAATTAGGGCGAAGTGTTTTGTACTGCATCATGGTGCTAAACTACCGATACACCGTAAAGCCAACCTGTGAAGCTACCATTTTGCCGATTCGGGTGCGCGGACGTGTTTGATTACTCGCCAATAAATCCAATAAAGCCAATAAACATATATCGTAATTAGAAATAACTAAAAAAATTAAAACTTGGTTTTGTTTGTTTTTAAACAAGAAAGGCGCAAAATATAGTTAAGTCTAATTATTTGTGACATCTAAAAATATATACAAATTACTTCCTGATAGTAAAGCAGTCAATAGAAGATTATAAAACTGCAATCGTACAGTTTTGGGTACACAATAAAAGTGTTAAATCATAAATAGCATTCCCTATATCGATGTTTATTTCCTCTAAAATTCGGAAGGTGTTTTTCGGAGTTTATTTTTTGCTGAAAATTAAGGGTTTATCGGACTTTATTTATATTAGATTCCCAATTCTCAGCAATTCGAAGCTTAGTTTACTCTGTTCCTAATTTTTTTTTTAATTTACAAATAAAATAAATAATGTCTCTTTTACCCGTTCTCCTGGAGGAATCATGACGAGCTGAAAGGCAAACCCCTTTTGTCCGTAGTTCGAGGTCTCAAAGGAAACTCAAGTTTCATCTCCTTAGGACCACTGACCTTATGCTCTCATGAATTTTATGGGTAAAACACCGTCATTTTTCTTTTAAGGCGAAAGCCTCACTTGTCCCATTACGCGGAAAAAGCGGCGGCGTTGTGCCCGAAAGATGGTCATAAAATACGTCATCAAGCACGTGCCTCAGAAATAAAACACGAAGAAAAGCACAGCACCGCAATGCTTCGTCACGGAAGCCGTCGTGAAGCTGGCGGGGCTCGCCGCACCTGCGCAATGGGGGAGTGCTATGTCATCGCCGGAGCTCCGTGTGAAAAAGGAAGTCGTGGGGTTCGTAGGAATGTTTTAGCATTCCTACACGTAAGGAGTCTTAAGTGTCTCTGCCGAATTCGTGTTTTGTCGTTGTGACACCAAAATTATAGGTTTTTGGATAGATCCGAATCGACTAAATATTTGCCGACGAGTGTTCTCGGATTTTTACGGGTTTATTCAAAAACACAGAACTCTAATCGTAAGATACAATGCTCACAATTGTCATCAAAACGTCGAAGATATGATATTTCGCATTTTTGGGGGTTTCAGGCACGAAATATGCCAAGACAGTTTTGTTTAAACAAAGAAATAGGCCGCACATCATACATTTATCAGAACCAAATGTAGTGAGTGTTTTCATTCTTATTTATCTATACACCAACTCATGTTTACAAACAAACCGGAGCGCCCCTAGCGGACGCCACCGGCGGCAGGCATGTGCGATGCGGGTGTGGGCAAGAAGCTCGCCGTCGGCCATAAAGAAACCATTGAATTGCCTTGTTGTCGGCGTCGGTGTGAGTCCCCCTGCCCTTTTTCGCGTTTGAATTGCTGATGCTACGTCTTCCGGGCAATGTCTGACTACTTCAGCGGCCTCAGCGAAATTAACGAGGCTCGTTATATCGCGAAACTTCCCGCGAATAATGTGACGTGCGGCGATTCATTCCGCGTGGACGCCGCAGAATGTACGCTATAGCCTGATCATCGCATGATGAGATTTCGCTCGCAATTTTAAGTCGCGACGTCGCTCGGGCTGCAAAAGCGTGAACCGTAGCTGAGATGGTCGACGTCGATACTAAAAATCGCAAGCAGAATCGGACCAAGTGAGTCAGGCCTAACAAGTCTGTGATGGCCACTGGTAACAATGATCAACATCTCCGTATCGACTGTTTACATCGAGCCTGCTTACCAACCTTCAAACTTAAGTCTTTTGAGGCCTGCACCTAGCTCCTCCTTAACGCAAGTACCGGGCCAACATTTGGTGCACGGGCCGGTGTCGCCTAAAAGAGTAGACGACAAACAGAGACGTTTGAAAGAGCAGACGACAGTTCGAATGATCAGGCGGCCGTTTGAACTTGAAGGCGCACTGAACGTAGTCCGCAGGTTGTCCGTACAACTTGACGGTTTTCCGGCATTCATCTTAGAACAGAACAAATAAATTTGATGACCAGAAGTATCCGTGAATTCAACCCAAAGTGCTTCCCGCCCAAGCAATCGTGGTCCGACGGCGTCTGGTTTTCCCTTTTCACGGCAAATTTCCACGTCCTCGGGCGAACCGAGCACATGAAAACAGATGTTCAAACTTTTCTCGACTCTTTTGGTACAGCCCCAGTCGCGGCGTCTTGACGAAAGGGCAGGTGTTTGTCTGGTTCCTTTTAAAACAACGCAGGAATACACGTCTCAGATGGGGACATCCGCCCACAGCCCCAGACCGGAAGTGCGCCCGACGCGCCACCACCGCGCCATGACGTCACGGAGATGAGTTGGTGTATAAGAACCGACAAAACTAGATAAAAATATCAAGCTGCATAAATACAGTATTTTTTCTTGCTCTACGTAAGTTAATAATGTTCGTGGAAAGAAATTTGCAAAGGCAAATCTAAAATGCTTTTTTTTCATAACAGACATATGGTTCTTTTATTTATAATGTTTAGGTAAATTAATATACCCACGCCTACAAGCGTGTTTGATTTTAAATTAAACCACTCTTCTGTACACTCTTAAGTATCTGAAGTACACAGGGTATTTCAGCGGTAGCTTTCAAAAATCTTTAAAACTGTGGTGGTTAAGAGAGAAAAAAATAAACACTTTCCGGTAACAAACTGCCAGCAACGACGGACGTCACGAATTGCGACAAAAAACGTACTAATGTTCTCAATAATTAACTTAAATTAAGAATGATTAACTTCAAGGTATATCTGTGCAGACCTTGGACGGGTTCGTGTTCGTGGTGGCTCCCGACGGCAAGATCATGTACATCTCCGAGACGGCCTCCGTACACCTGGGACTCTCGCAGGTACGCATGGCACCTGCACGAATGATTATGGGAATTCATTGAACGTGTAAGAACTAGGATAGCTTCGCATGCCCGGATAAAGACTTACACTAAAGTAATATTAATGATATAGCTCGAAACGAGACTAAGAACTTCAATAAAAAATCAGAACGCACACATGTCACGCATCTTCAACAGCACACGCAAAATTTAACTGTAAAAGAAAAGTTAAAACTAGTTTTATTGAGATGCCTATAGAAATTATTGATCAATAATGAACAAACTTCAAACGTTGTCCACCGAACTTGCAATGGGAACATAAAAATTTAGGAGTCGCTCTCCCATGCTTATCAGTGTAGGTCCGCGTAAACATCTGTAGAATTTTAACTTAGCTCGACACGCTTATTATTAAGTTAGTAAAATTAAGGTAGGCAGTTGTCTCAGACAGTGAAAATTTCAATATATGTGTGATATACAGTGTGTTGCACGGAGAATTGGCCAAACATCTCGTGTAAAACCTAGCCATCGCACAGAAAATAGATTGGCGCTGTCTTAGTCACTGTCAGAGGTCTTGTTATTTAAGCAAATATGGGTTAAGGCCCGTTCACACTCTTGCGACTGCTTGCGACCTCTTAAACCTATGCTCCTTAAAACTTCTTAAACCAGAGAACACACTGGCGCCATCTATTGGGAAGCAGTGTAAACTCGGCGGTCCGGCATATTTGTTTTTATTTCTCGCGCAATATCCTTTCTTTTTTGGCTCGAAAAACTTTTGTAAATGTTATAAACGAGCCTTTCTATGGGTATTACGCACATTTGACCTCGGAAATCCCGCAAAACCTTCGCTTTTGTGAAATGCAGTTCTAGGGTCACCGCATAGATGGCGCCACAATGTCAGTGTGTTCCCTCATTCTAGAAACATTAAAGAAGTTGTAAGAGATCTCGTCTCTCTCAGTCGTACTCGGTCGCAAGAGTGTGAACGGGCCTTTAGGATATTCCTTTGTTTAGACTGCCGTATTTGTCTCCATATGTAGTAAAAATAAACATTTAGTTTTATTTAGAAACTTTAGGAGCATCACAAGGAAAATACTAAAGTGATTACTTGTAGAAAGAGTTTCAGCGGATGATTTGTATTTCTGAGTACCCAAAATGCGTCCAAATTCGTTTCCCTTGAGTTTTGTTTTTCTCTTTTTTTTATATATCATCCGCGTTTTTGCTTCTTCAATCATCTGTATGTACCACAAGCCGGTAATTACCACGGGCTTAAAGTATTTATAAAGTTTACTAATCTAGTCGTTTTCGACTGTGCTCAGCAAAGTTCTAATTTGAACTATATATTTAATATTACTTATAAAAACTCAGTTATGCAAACCTAATAAATGACTTATCTTTCCGAAACGGTATGTGTCTCACTAAACTGGCCCCTCAACAATAAATCTCACGGCACATTTTTTTTTCTTTTTTTTTTTGTATCTGTGCGCGAATCGTAGTTCAAAAAAACATTTTTTTTGGCCGATGTTTAGGGATACACTTAGTATTTAAAACAATAAAATAAATATTCAAGCGAAACTCTAGGCTGTTTAAAAAATGCATTATCAAGATTTTCTGAAGTGTCTAAATACTTCCTTAAAATGATCATTAAATTTTTCTTTATTCTGCTCACGCAGTAGAGCAAATCAACACCGACCGAAAAGCGCAATGCGATTCTCTTGATTTTAACATACTGTCTCTATAGGTCATTTCACGCATGTGTAATGACCTATATTCATGTAATGTCATAATTACCTAAATATTAAACTTCAATCTTAAGTGTATGTATTTATGCACCTTGGCTACCTTTTTTAATACTAATTCGCATTCATTTCTCTGTTTAAATGCTTACCTAGGTTTATTTTTAGCTATTCTTAGTTTATAATTACCCCCCCCCCCTCCCTCGGCGACACATCGTTAATAGTTCCAGCAAACATATCTTGGAACAGGTACTTTTACTTCACCAACAACACATACAATTTGTAGACTAAATACGTGATGGCCGAATCCAGGTCTGGATCGTTTCTTTGGCGTGAAACTTTTAATTGCCGACGATTGTTGCCAGCACCGTACTGAGAAACCGACATTGAGGTTTTCTTGCTGTTGGCTGTCTTCTGACACATCATTATTTAACTATACCGCCACTATCACAAGGAAAGTTTAGCAGGTTGGTGCATAGACGCAATACACCACAAATTCACAAAGACGGCATTCGAGTAAGGATGTGGTAAGGCAATCAAGTGCCCTACCAGCGCATAATGTGTTAACACTGTTAACACTCTGTGTGCCCACGGCAAGTACACTGTTTCTTATTTTTTATTTAAGAGACACAACCTAAGTTCTAATACATGTATGTAAAAATATTAATTTTTGCCACGCTTCTACTTTACCTCGCTTGACAGGATTACTTATAGCCTTCGCCCGACAGTCTCGCGACCGAAGCAAACAATTTAGTAATATCAAGTTAACGCCGATCTCTAGAGCAAGGATGCTTGAGCGTGTTGGTGAGCAAATTACGAAACCAAAAGGACTTATTGTCCTCTGCGTCCATCATTCGTTTTCTAATTTACGCTAAGAAAGCGTATAGGTTTTCATGTACGCGTCACCCATATCAACATGTTCGGTCGGCCGCTTCATTTTGTGCGTTGTTTTTCCTTGTTTCTTTCTTAAGATTAGACAGTGCTTTCCAGACTCTGCTACCGTGTGCCCTTCTGCAATATAAAATATCGCTTCAAAAAGAAGCTTCCTTTTCGCTACGCCACTTGCTTTCCGATTTCAGTGCATGAAGACGAATACAAAAAAAAAACACAAAAAAAAAACGTTTGTTTAAGTGACCAAGCTTGGTAAAGCTTTTTTTTAGAATTGGGTCGTGCAGATGTTGTTCAACTTGCCGTGTTTGAAATAGAACGATTTTGACATAAACAACAGGGAGAGCCAAAGGGAAACATAAACCACAGGGAGAGCCAAAGGGAACGATGGCTGTTTGAAGGTACTGCATAGATCAATTTGTCAACGTATTGAGCTAAAACCTTTCTTGAAAGAAGAACGTCCATTAAGGGTATAAAACGTTTACTGAACAAACTTACCCGAGTAATCAATTAGAACCGAAAAACGGGAAATCCCTATGTGCAGCGGAAGTCTGCTAAAGAAAGGGGTCTGATTGGCGCAACAGACTATGCTTGAGCCTTGCCACGGTTGCAGACGACAACGCGGCACATAAGCGTCCGGCGGGTGCAGGGGGTGCAGATATTGACGACGAGGTGTTTCGGTGGCGCTCTCATAGGCCAGGGTCCTACTCGTACTACATCATTCAAGAGACAGTCTTCAAACACTGTCTGAAGCCTGTCCATTCCTTGCGTTACGGTCCTCGACCTCGGCAGTAGCAGAAGGCCGTTCTGAGTCAAAAGCGACACGCTCTTTTTCTGCACGAATTATCAGCGCACGATTATTTTATTCCACCAATAAAACATAAAAACGATGCTAAAACAGGAACCAGGAGTATGGTACGTCGTCTCATTATTTTTCGAAAATTATTTTCGGTTAAATGTCGCCGTTGGTTTGCACTCTCTGGTTGTTACTGCGTCTTTTTTCTTGTCTGCAACATTCATTTGTGTTGCTTTGAAATTTTAGTCATCTTCATAGTCCGCTTAGCTCCCAGCGAGCGAGTGAAGATTGTTCTCTGTTACGGAGAGTGCCAGGGGACGAAAGAGGTCCACCGATATTTTCGGGCAGCGTTTCGGCGGTGGCCTCCGGGCTCCCCTACAATTCTATGCTGGGTGAGGCGCGCCTCGGTCAGGAGGCAAAGCTCCGAAACAAACCACCGATAACGGCAATGTCATCACCAAAGTTGACGATGAAAAATGCAGTACTCGCAGTGCCTTCACTGTCGATTCCCACTTGTCGACGCGGAGAGCACTACCGACATCTATAGGCTGCTGCGCCATTCAGATACCTTTGGTTAGCACACGGCCGCTACCTAGGGCTTTCAAGTTTTTCATTTGTAACTTTTTACTCGGGTAGTTTTATCCGGTAAAATTTGTATGCCCTTAATCCACGTTGTTCGGCAACCTCTGCGAGAAATATTAGCTCGATATATTCAAAAACCTATTTATGTCATTCCTCGAAACAATCATCGGTCCCTTTGACTCACCCTGTACGTGAAATACGTATGCGAGCCGGAATTGCGATGATGCTTCTTGTTGTGTCACAAAACGATGAACCCACATGGCTTCGTCATTACTAATATTACAAAGCGATCTAAAAGTATCCACACCACGCACGCAGGTGGAGCTGACAGGCAACAGCATCTACGAGTACATCCACCCGGCCGACCACGACGAGATGACGGCCGTGCTCACACTACAGAGCGTCCTTCCTCACCCGCATGGCGCCCAGGGTGGGTCGTCCAGACGGACAAGGCCTCCCAGAAAACAAAGCCGAAATGCTGGACCTTATACGTCACCTACTGGAGGCCATCGCGGGGCACAGTTTAGACCCGAGTGCTACGTCGGCGCTCGCCTCGTGTCCTCACTGACTGAACACGAGTCCCAGCCGGATGCTAAAGAGGCTCTTGTTTTCATTCTTTGCTCTGCGCTGGCCCTCACTGCGTGACATAGAAGGTCCAGCACTTCGGCCTTCTCTGAATAAATACATATTACGACGTCGCGACCCACGGGACTTTTGTATGACGCCTATATTTTCGAATAGCCTAGTTTCTTCGGTAACTTTCTTCTCCCTGGATTTTTTTTCTGGGTCTTACGGCTTTATTTTCTTCTACGACAAACTATCACCCTACAAATTGGGTTATTTATCGCCATTAGGTAATAGAATGTTGTTGTATTCCGTGTATATAAGAGCCTCGGCTAAACTATTGATTAAACTTCCGCTGTTTAATTGTTGTTTCTCACCGTGAGTTTTCACTTCGATATATATATATATATGTGTGTGTGTGTGTGTGTGTGTGTAGGAGTGAGCGAAAGCATTAGAGAGTTTTAGTATTGCGTATAGAAGCAAATGCAAGCAGTCTGCATTTGTATTAGCGCTGCGTTCTCCACACTGCGCATGCTCCATAAGTACGCAACCACGCGAATGTTACTTGCGTACGATCGGTATCGATTTTTGCGTGCGTACGCAGCGGTCCTCTGCGTTCCCGACTCGTTCCTCTCGTCTCGCGCGGGACAGCGCGAGACCCAGATTGGCTTCACGCATGGACGTAGGAATAAGAGGCGACATTGCGGCTGAAACAAGCCAAACGAGAACACCCCGGAAGAAGCAGAAATTAGAGTTCGCGGTCGGTGGGATCGCCTTCGAGGATCGCCTAAGTCCGTCCAGTAGCGTCTTTTGGTTTTGGTCATCGTCGGGGGTGTGTCTATTCAAACCGGAAGTCTCCTCCGGCTTCAGCTCTGGTGGTGTCATGTCGCCTCCAGAAACAATTCCTACCTCCATAGTTTCACCCATGGAGGTAGGAAGTTTCTGGAGGCGTCGAGAAAAGAGCTCAGTTGGCGGCAACACTCTCGATTCTAACGGTACGGCTGAAACGAAACAAAAACGTCCTTTTCCGCTCATTTGGCTCACCACAGTTATAACCGAGCCATTTTTTTAAATATAAATTCCTGTCTGTCATTGAAAGCCCACCCACTGAACGTAGCTTTTAGCTTACACTGAGTGAAGTGAAAGTAGACATAAATTATACATTTCGGAGTATTTCATAAAAGCGGAGGGCTGCGGTCACGGACAACTGGTTGTGGCATTTCAGACACTAAGAGTGCTCGCGCACAGTTTTGAAGTGGGCTCAGAATGCACAAGCGTGCGTTAGCCCGTAGCTTTGACTGCATAAGCGGAGAAAGTTGTTTGCGAGTATGGGTATACTTTTAGTTCATAACAATGTTTCATTTAGATCATTCAAATCTTCTGTGGCAATCGCCATATCAGAAAACGTTTCGGAAGTTGGTATGTCCTTCAATCCAGCTAATAAACGTTGTAACCTCGTTTCTTTCTGTTTCTTTTTTTTAGAGCGCAGCTCTTAGGCGCCCGTTTCCGGCTTGAGCGGCGTCGCCGTCGGCGTAACCGCGCAGTGCATTATGGGTAAATTTCCCCGCTACATTTAGCGGAAAAACTTCTCCGCTATATCTAGCGGAAAAATTTCCCAGCTAAATTTAGCGGAAAAGTTTCCCCGCTAAATCTAGCGGAAAACTTTCCCTGCTATATCCCGCGGAAAAATTTCCCCGCTAAATTTAGCGGGGGAATATTTCCGCTAAATTTAGCTAGTAAAATTTTCCGCTAGATTTGGCGGGGAAGTTTTTCTGCTAGATTTAGCGGGGAAATTTTTTCGCTAAATTTAGCGGGGAAATTTTTCCGCTAAATTTAGCGGGGAAATTTTTCCGCTAGATATAGCGGGGAAAATTTTCCGCCAAATTTAGCGGAAATATTTTCCCGCCATATCTAGCGCAAATTTTTCCGCTAAATTTAGCGGGGAAATTTTCTGCTAGATTCAGCGGAGAAAATTTTCCGCTAAATTTAGCGTAAAAATTTTCCCGCTACACCTAGCGGAAATATTTCCCCGCTAAATTTAGCGGAAAAATTTCCCCGCTAAATGTAGCGGAAAAACTTCCCCGCTAAATCTACCGGAAAAATGTCCCCTCTAAATTTAGCGGAAAAACGTCCCCGCTCAATCTAGCGGAAAAATTTCCCCGCTATATTTAGCGGAAAAATGGCCCCGCTAAATTTAGCGGAAAATTTTCTCGCTAAATCTAGCGGAAAAATTCCCCCGCTAATTCTAGCGGAAAAGTTTCCCTGCCAAATCTAGCGGAAAAATTTCCCCGCTAAATATAGCGGAAAAATTTCCCCGCTAGATTTGGCGGGGAAACTTTTCCGCTAGATTTAGCGGAAAAATTTCCCCACTATATCTAGCGGGAAAATTTTGGTCACGTAACCTGGGGGTCACGTTACTCCACCCACGTGGACCCCCTCCCCCGAGGTCACGTGACCCCACGAAGGTCACGTGACCTCGGGAGGGTCACGTGACCCTCTACCGTATGTCCCGTGACCCCCCCACCCCCCGACAACACGTGACCCTCAGTACCCTTCCCTCCTCCTCCTCAAGAGCTGCCCTCTAATTCGGCGTTACAGGGAGTTGTAAACGGCTTTCACTTTTAGAGCGCAGCTCTTAGGCGCCCGTTTCCTGCTTGAGCGTCGTCGGCGTCGCCGTCAGCGTAACCGCGAGGTCACGTGACCCCCAAGGTCACCCCGAGGTCACGTGACCCCCAAGGTCACTTGACACCCAAGGTCACATGACACCCAAGGTCACGTCTCCCCAAATCACGTGACCCCGTCCCCGAGGTCACGTGACCCCCCCCCAAGTCACATGACACCCCCCCCCCCCCCCCCCGAGGTCACGTGAACCCCTCCCCCCGAGGTCAGGGTCAGGTGACCCCCGGAGCATAATCAAGAATGAGGGGAGGAGGAGAAGAAGGAAAAGGAGGAGGAGGGGTCTACCCTCCCCTCAGTACCCTTCCCTCCTCCTCCTCAAAGGGCTGCGCTCCAATTCAGTGTTACAGGAAGTTGTAAACGGCTTTCACTTTTTATTATTGATATTTAAACATTACGCAGTTTTTTGAGAAAAACAAATACTTACGAAGTGAAAAATATTTACTGAATAAATATATCGCCTATTTGTAAGTATTATTCCCTATTGAGAAAGAGTTTTTACTGGAATTTGATTTCCAGTAAACAATTATTTTACTGGATTTTGGGACTCTTCACTTCCGGTAAAGCCGGAATTTACTAGAATGTCACCAGATTGTTTATTGGAATGTCACCGGATTTTTTACCGGAATGTCACAGAATGTTTTACCGGAATGTTAACGGACTTTTTACCGGAATTCTACTTCCAGTTAAAATTTATTTTACTGGATTATGGGACTCTTTTCACCTCCACCAAAGCCGGAATTCACCGGAAATCACCAGATTTGCGGGCAATTCACCGGAACTTACCGTGCTTCTTTATTTTCGGACGTCAACAAAAGGCACTTAGGAAAAAGCCTGTGAACCGTGTGTGGTGTATGTTTACCAGATGCTGGACGATTAGGTAACAATTAAAACGGTTAGCCGATATAAACCTGAAAGTTCCATGTCTTTATTTCATAGGGTCAATACCAGTGAAACAATTTGCTTAGCTGTAGACAAAAGGAATCTGACCAATTAGAAACAACTGAGTTCTTTGTCGCAAACATATCTTTCAAGGTACTCACAATGCCGCTGGGTAATTCCTAGACGTAAGGATAGTTCAACTAATAAAACCGAGCAGATGCATCACACGGACACACACACACTGTCAGTAGCACGTTTAGCGAAAACCACGAACGAGCACCAACACCCCTCGCAGTTCAGAATAAATCATGGGCACACTCACGGTGTGGTCACTGATCCCGTCGCCGCGGGTGCACCACGCGGACAAATGCACACTGTCAGTAGCACGGTTAGCGAAAACCACGAATGCGCGGAACGAACATCCGCCGCCGTTAAGAAATCACGGGCACAGTACGGCCTCTCCGGCGTTTTTTTCGCTCACTGGATGCTTCTAAAGTTGGACGGACAAGAAGGTGTAAGATACAGGTCACTGAAATGTATTTTCTTTTGATCTGCACGCCCAGCTGCTTTGGAAGATACCGGTCGCGCACATGTTCGTTGCTGCTCGTTGACGGACAAAGAAACCGGTTTTCTTCAAAACAGACAGCAAAAAGACGACCCCCCCCCCCACACACACACACACATTTTTCCCACAAAGCCAATACGAGGAAGGAAGGGCACACGTGGGGACTCGTCCTTGGTGCGTTCTAGGAACCATAATAACACACCCAGTGCCCGGCTCGTCTCGGCTAACCCCCTCCCCTTGCGTCGGCTTCCAACGAAGTTCGGTAAACGGGGAAACGAGTCACTCGTTTCTGGTAAAAATTTACAGCAAAGTTGAGTCGTCTGGTAAACGAAAGTGGCTGCGGGTGAAATTCAGGCAAATATTCCAGCAAAGACTAAACTACGCTGGTTTCGGATGAAAACGGGTGAAACTTGACCAGTTTTCACCGGATATCACTAAAAGTCCACCGGATGTCACTGTAAGTTTTGTCGTGTTTTTTCAATAGGTAAGAGAACTAAACAGGCAATGCGGTTTATTATTAAAGCGAAAAATTAATCCTTAGCGTATTATTTTCTGACATGGGCGGCATACTAGCCAAATGCGTTTTTTTCTGAAATATTGGAGTGTTAAAGCAATTAGCAAGCAAGCTTTTAATTTTTGTAAATTTTAAACATTTATGAGATAAAAAGTTTTGTTGATTTTACTTGTTTTCATTATGATACAGTCTCGTTTTAGAGAAAAAAATATATGCGACAAGAAGTTGAACAAAAAAAACAATAAAATTAAACTATTAATTTGTGGTTTTCTTTGATGTTGCATTGTAGCGTAATTCGCGTGCGCACAATCGAGCGCCAACCGTATGCCTTCCTTGGGCTCTTGCGCAGAGCTGGAGGTGGACCGGTCTTTCTTCGTGCGCATGAAGTGCGTGCTGGCCAAGCGCAACGCGGGCCTCACGACGGGCGGCTACAAGGTGATCCACTGCAGCGGTTACGTGAAGGTGAAGCACTACTCCATGGACGTGGCGCCCTACGACGGCTGCTACCAGAACCTGGGCCTGGTGGCCGTGGGACACTCGCTGCCGCCGTCGGCCATCACCGAGATCAAGATGTACGCCAACATGTTCATGTTCAGGGCCTCGCTGGACCTCAAGCTCATCTTTCTGGACGCCAGGTAATAGTAACAGTAATAATACGAGTAATGGCAATTTTTTCCGGGTTCAGGAGAGCCGTGGCGAATTTTCGACAAAGGAAACAAGGACAGAAAAACATACACAGTATCTTTTAAGATACTGTGTATGTTTTTTTCTTTCTGTGTTTCCTATTAAAATTCTTCAGTTGCGAGTACAGCAGTGTCCTGTCGTGTTTGTTCCTCTTCGTAATCCGTGTTTTCTGAACTGTTTACCCCATCATGCATTACCTCCTTACGGGTCGTTAACGTAAACGTTTTCGGAATATATCAGAATTTTTTATAGAACTGCTTGTAACCAAAACATCATTTGTGCGGTGATGCTATTTCTGTTGCTATATATGTCATACAAGATTTTTAATTAAGTAGTCTCAAAAAGATATGTCCACCCGTTTTGTGCAACTTGATTGCAAATTTTACCTATGTAATATCATTAAATTAGGCTTAAAATAGCATCACCGCACATAACATGTCAGGGTAAATGCAATTCTATAAAACTCTCTGATATATTCCGAAGAATTCTACGCTTACGAACCGTAAGGAGGACCTAATTAAAGATGCAAATTTATTGATAACTAAGGATCTAGTAAATATATCTGAAAACTAAATGCATATCTGAAATTATCCCTAAGAAATACATCATTACACAAAAAGTTTGCGCGGTAAACGAAACAAAAAATATTGAAGACCAGCATCTCGACTATAGAAAGGCCTTGCAAATAACCCCTCTTCTTTCTCCCTAGCAACAACTCTTTTCTCGTAGCCTAGGTGGAGGAGTTAGTTTAAGGTTTTGACGCACTGCAGCTGACACCATGTGTAATGAGAGCTTTCGTTGCCAGCGCGAACTTTTTGAAAGGGGATTGCAGCTGCTTCACCTGCCTAATGACCATCGCTCAATGCGCGCTGAAAATCTCAACTTAGCCGTCATATAATATTACACTTGCCAAGTGGTCCCTCCAAAGCGGAGACATTAAACAATTTAGAAAATTGTTGACTCCCCGTTGAATGAACACAAAAGCAGCTTTAACCAGACCTCGCGTGCATTGAGTACTTGCGCATTTTTGCAAGCGTGTATTACTCAGTTAGTTTAGCACTGGCGAGTTTTCTTTGTCGTCCTTTTTTCTTTGCTTCGCCACTAGAGAACCATCTACTGGCGGCGAGCCCCTTTCATGCAACACTTTCCTTTTCTTTTTGTCATATCTATAAAACCGCCGTAAAAACTCAGCTCAGTATTTCAGCAGATAATATAAATTTTTTACAGTTGTATATATTTCACGTTCCTCATTTTTATAGTGTGAATTGCAACCAGAAAAGAAACGTGTGGCGTACACGCTTCTTTTTTTTCTTTTTTTAGTCGTTTTGTACGTTACAGAGCATTTGGGAAGAACCGGACAGAACCAAGAAACGTCAAACTGCAACCCGAGAATACGCCTGCGTGACGCTTATGTCACGCCTGTTGCTATGGGTTGATCTGGGGTCATAATGTAAAGATTATGAAAAATCTGTTGTTGTTTTTTCTCACTCAATATATGAATATTAATTTATAGCCACAGCAGAAAATAACGTGTTTTATATTTTTCCGAACCCTATATTGTCCCCAGACAACCATGACCGAACTGCCGTAGACCACCAATGCCCCATCACAAGCTGCGCGTTAAAAACACCTCCTCGTCGTTTTTTTTTTTTTTTTTGTGTGATTGTCAATTGTTTGTTTGGGCGCACCTCGTGTATTTGTTTTTAGCGAAGAACGAAGCAGACAACGTAAGAAAAGAAAGTATTCTCGGATGTAAGGTTACGAATATTTGCAAATATAGCCGCCTCGCTGGGTGGACGAGACTAGCTTCCCAGAATAAATCAAGTTCATTCGTAAAAGTAACTCGTTGCTGGAACTCAAAGTTTTACTTTGTCGCGAGTAATATATATTGTAGGAGCATAGCTTTCTCAGACATTTTTCCTGCCTATTATGACCTAACACTATCTGTGGTATTCTGTTCACAGGGTAGCGCCTTTGACGGGCTACGAGCCGCAAGACCTAATTGAGAAGACGCTCTACCACTATATCCACGGATACGACTGCCTACATATGAGGTACTCGCACCACACACGTGAGTGATATTTTCTTCTTTATCACAATTAGTTGTAGTCGTTCGCTATCATGTTAAAACACAGCAGGTCATCGAAATCTTCGCATCTAAGGATGCTTTTAGAATTCATTTATGATGCCACTTCGGCTAATCAAGGCCCTCATTTTCTCTTTAAACTAAAAATGTTAATAAATAATAGCTAAAGGGCCCATCAGAACGCACGCAACAAATGCTTTAGTGATTCGCACTGAAGGTGGGTGTGGTCCACCGTAGGTTATTCCTGTATATATATTTTCTTAAATAATTTTTGGCACTATTCGGCGACGTCTAACGAGAGTATATAATACAGATAACGATCGTCTACTCTAATATGGGCAAATTTTGTACCCTCGTTATCGTAGTTTTCAATCTGTCACAGAAATACACACCGACAGCAATAAAAGGATATATAAAACATATGTTTTTTGTGCATTTTTTTCGAAACTTTTTTTGCGCCTGTGAGTGGCGATATTTGAGTCTTCGACTAAATTTCGTGCCAATCTCCTGCGTTGCAGTGCTGCTAAAGGGCCAAGTGACCACGAAGTACTACCGCTTCATGTCCAAGGAAGGAGGTTGGGTCTGGATGCAGAGCTACGCCACCATAGTGCACAACAGCCGCTCTTCCAGACCTCACTGCATAGTTAGCGTCAACTACGTTCTCAGGTGAGGACTGCGGCAGAGCATGTCTAGGGCAGTTTCAGGGGACATAGGCTTCCGGCTGTAAACCGTGCGTCGGCGGTTCTTCGGCAAAACACGACGCTGAATTGCGACGTTGGGAGCAGCGCTTTAAGATGACTCTCAGCCGCCTTATCGCGTGCACATAGCAAAGCAGCAAAATTCTACATTAAACGCCGATAAAGGTTAACCAACATTCCTCTGCCGAGATGTGTCTGAACCATCTGAAACAGAAACTGAATTTTCTGTAACCGCGCAAACGATTTCACGTCGCAGTCTCTTTGGTCTTCTTCTTGGAGGAAAACAAATCATTCACAGGTACTGGCACACGGGCGTGGGTCTTGTCTAGCTTTTGAATGCGTTTACGTACAAAGGAGGTGATATACCAAGCTACGCACTCACGTTAGCAGATATGGCAGTGTTCTTGGCTATCTCAGACACGGAATATCTGTTCCACAAAAAAAAAAGGTTCCCATTGTAAATGTTGGTCTGTTTTCTGCGCACTTTCTTCGCTTGCCGAGCTGGCAAGCACATAGCGCTGGAATATTACTCTGAAGCAAAATGGCAACAAAAAAAGGTGTCATGGGGAGGATGCTGGTGACAGTGAAAGAAGTTAGGTTCTTCGTAACAAAAGGGAAATTAAAGGAAAATCTATTGGTGGATCTTTAGGGGATGTGTTAACATGGCCCTCAGCAAACTTCACAAACTCCCCCCTTTGAGAAACACTAACGCTGACCCCTTAACTTTCCTATTTCGGCTTTCTCTTTTACTTCCTCTATTTTTGCTGCCTCTTTTTGGCTTTCTTACGGGGTCAGTGTCAGCGTTTCCCAAAGGGGGACGTGTGTTGCGTTTCCCAAGGGCCATGCTAACGGATTCCCTAAAGACCCACCAATGGATCTTCCTTTAATTTTTTCCGGCGAAACGGGCTCGCCAAGCCGGCTTCTCCCAAGCCACTGTCGCACGCAGACCCGCGTGGGCTTGCCGCTTCTTGCACCGCATTTCGGCCATCGAATATAGGCGCTGCGTCAGCTCCTCCACCTCGCTCGCCCGCGTTGCAGGCTTGGCAGCGGCATCCACTGCCTGACGCTGCTCTCGATGTTCAGCGGTTTTCCGCGCGCGCATTGGTTTCCGCCCTCGTGACGTCGCCTTCCTCTCGCCAAACCGCGCCGCGCGCATTGGCTTCCACCTTATGACGTCGCCTTCCTCTCGCCTTTGCCCTTTACTCCTCTCCTCCTCTCTACTCGGCGCGCTTCCCTTTCCCCTATTTTTTTCCGCAGACGGACGGCATCAGTTTTTCGCTGCCATGTAGGTACTAATTCTGACGCATTAATATTCAGCATCGAACTAACCAAACTGTAGTCATTAACTTGCCTACCTCTAGGAGAAAGATATCAATAACTCCTACTGGAGGTAACAAATAGAAACGCCGAGTAAATCGTGTTAACACAGCAAACAAGTTATAACATCCCGAACCAGTGGCGTCGAAAGAGGGAAAGGTGATGATACCCCCCCCCCCTTTTACGCCCCTAGTCACCGCAGACTTTTCTATTAAACAAGTTGAGAGAGGTAGGGAAATTAAACCCTCAGCCCCTACTACCGACTTTGTCACCACCTTTGTGACAGATTTACATATTCCAATCACTGAAACCAGCTCATCGCGACAATTAAAAAGCGGGAACTTCGCAACCAAGCGTCTGACTGTGGTAGTTTGTCCTAGAATATACCGGACCAAGTAGGCAGTAGTTGGTTCAGTACTCTTAAAGAGCGGTTCCGAATCAACTCATCCTGTCTGCTGGTGTCCCTCAGCGAGCTGCAGGCACAAGAGTTGCAGCTTCAGATGCACCAATCCAGGTCCAAGACCAGCCCGTGCACCTTCCAGCCCTCTGAGACAGCGCCCACTTCGTCGGCGTCTAAGCCCGCCCCTGGCAAGAGCAAGACGCCCAAGGGAAAATGTCGCCGCTCCCCCTACTACTGCACCGCAGACGCAGCCTCCGAATCCACCACCAATGGTCAGGTAAGGTCGGCAGGTCTAATACTCAAGTTATTGTGACCTGTCAAAGGAAAAGACAGCAGGTGAAAGTAAAAAAAGAAAGAGAAGTCCAATAGTTTTTTTGTTTTGTTTTTCGCCTCTTTTTACGCTGTTAATATCAGACTTGGAAGAAGCCTAGACCCTTTCTTTACTAGTTCTCCGTCCATGGATATCATAATCATCACAGCATTACTCTAACTGGGACATAGAAATACGACGTCTTTGAGCAGAGTGCTTTCTAAGGACTGCCAGCCATTCGTGGGTGCCATAAAACGTGAATTTGACTGATTGGCTTATTTCTGTTCAGACCGTTCGCGTCTGAAAGAGCGAGACGTCAAGGAACAAAGCAAATGGTTAAACCATGACCACTCATTTAAAAAGTAGTAATTTACCTGTTAGGAAATCCAGCATGATCTTTCACACCCGTTATTTCCCGAGGCAAACCACATTTTTCGGTAAAAAAAATATAATCTCTTGAATATACCTTGGTTTTCGCCGTAAATTTAAACAGCGTGTTTTTTTTTTGTTGTTTTTTTTTGCCGTGCTCTGCGCGAAAGTAACACCGTGGACATTATTTAAGCGTGGTATTTCTTGAACCGTGCAATTTCTCACACATTGTTTAGCTTATTTTTAAGAACGTACTTGCCCCTTTCTTACTCTTTTGTAGGACATTTCCGCATCCTCGCCGGATGTAGCACTTTTCTACATCTTTTTAGGATTAAGGAAAAACCTACATCTGGAGCGGCTGAGCAGTCATGCTAAGCAAGGCCACCGTCCAAAAAAACTGTGGGAGTCAAAACCGCTGCATCTGGAAAGTTCATGAACTTTTACTGTAAACTTGGCGGCACTGCTAGCAAGACCACAGGGATCTCAGCATCAGCGTTTCCTTTTTCCTTTTTTTTTTTTGTCTTCTCATTTTGTTTTGAAACCAATATTGTCACGGGTGGTGACCAAAAAAAAAACAGGAAATAAACAGAAAGAAATAAACGTTTAATGTGGCGAACTTGTGCCAAAAAAATAAACGAGTACAAAAGATAATAACAGAGCGTCGCGGGCGTCGAAGTCGGCGTAGCAACAGAGTCGAACGCTGGTGCGAAACTCACTGCGGCTCGCCACGCGGAGCCCCTTATGTACATGCGTGATCTTCGGGAATAATCGGCGTAGAAACTTCGACGCGTAGAACATTCGGGCCTGGAACAAGCAACATGATTCTCGAATTCTCCAGAACACTAAGTTACAGGAATAAACAAAAGACACGTCGCTCCCAGGATTCGAACCCTAGCTTTTCGCGTGGGAGCCAGGCGCGATAACCATTAGGCCACGCGCGCGCTGCCTACTTGGCCAGCGCGCGCGGCATTACTCCCCCCTTTAAAAAGTGCATCGCCCCGATGCAGCACAAAACAAAACAAAGCAAACAAAAAGAACGATAAACTAGAGAGTCATTTGGAATACGTAAGGTCCACTGTCCTATCGAGCGTAGTACGGCTTCCTGCGCACGACGTGGACGACTTCTGGTCGTGGAGGGCGGCGTGATGAAGTCCGTGTTCCATCGGGCATCACCTCGTAGTTCAGCTCGCCGAGGCGACGAAGTACCGTGTATGGTCCAAAGTACCGTTTCAGCAGTTTCTCACTGAGGGCGCGGCGACGGATGGGCGTCCACACCCACACCCTGTCTCCGGGCTGGAAGTGAACGTCCCTGCGACGAAGGTTGTAGCGGCCCGCGTCGACGCGTTGCTGGTCTTGAATCATGAGTCGGGCGAGCTGGCGGACTTCTTCGGCGCGTTGAGCAACCGCCTGGGCGTCGTCGCTCTCATTGTCAGATGGCTCATGGGGCAGCATTGCGTCCAGCATGGTCGTTACCTTCCGACCATGTACCAGCTGGAAAGGGGTGAATCCAGTGGTCTCCTGAACCGCCGTATTGTAGGCGAACGTGACGTAAGGCAACACCTCGTCCCACGTCTTGTGCTCTACGTCGACGTACATAGAGATCTTATCGGCGATTGTCTTGTTGAGTCGCTCGGTCAGTCCGTTGGTCTGCGGGTGGTATGCAGTGGTTCGACGATGGCCGGTGCCACTGAGACGAAGGATCTCTTGCGTCAGCTGGGCCATGAACGAAGATCCGCGATCTGTAATCAGAACTTCGGGAGCGCCGTGCCGGAGGACGATGGACTCGATGAAAAACTTGGCGACTTCCACAGCAGTCCTTGAAGGAAGAGCTTTCGTTTCGGCGTACCGCGTGAGATAATCTGTGGCGACGATGATTCAGCGGTTCCCCGACGTCGAAGGCGGAAAAGGACCAAGTAGATCCATTCCGATCTGCTGGAAGGGTGTAGTTGGAGGAGAAATGGGCTGCAGAAGTCCGGCCGGCCTCGTCGGCGGTTTCTTGCGTCGCTGGCACTCGTGGCATGATCGTGTGTATAGGTAGACGGTCTTGGGGAGTTTCGGCCAGTAATACTTTTCACGAATACGGGCCAGTGTCCGGCTGTAACCAAGGTGTCCGGATGTCGGGTCGTCGTGGCAGGCTTGGAAGATCTCCTCTCGAAGGTCACTCGGGATTACCAGCAACCAAGGTGTGTTGTTGTTGCCGAAGTTCTCTTTGTAGAGTACACCTTGTCGGATGGCGAAGGTCGGCAGTACTCGTGAGAAGACACGTGGCACGGTACTCCTGCGCCCTTCCAGGTGCTCGATTAATGCACGCAGCTCAGGATCGTCCCGTTGACGTCGTGCCATATCGTCGGTGTTCACTGCTCCTAGAAAGCACTCGTCGTCATTGTCGTCGCTGCAGCCGGAAGGGGTTTCGACGGGGGCTCTGGACAGGCAGTCGGCGTCGCTGTGCTTGCGGCCTGACTTATAGACCACTGTCATGTTGAACTCTTGTAGTCGAAGACTCCAACGAGCGAGGCGTCCTGGCGGGTCCTTCAGTTTCGCAAGCCAGCAGAGCGAGTGGTGGTCCGTGACTACACGGAACGGGCTGCCGTACAAGTACGGACGAAACTTCGTTATTGCCCAGACGACCGCAAGGCATTCTTTCTCAGTTGTGGAGTAATTTTTCTCCGCCTTGGATAATATCCGACTTGCGTAGGCGATGACCCGCTCGATGCCTTCTTGCACTTGGACTAGTACTGCGCCCAGTCCCGCGTTACTTGCGTCCGTATGAATTTCTGTTTCCGCATCCTGGTCGAAATGTCCAAGCACAGGAGGAGTCTGGAGTCGTCGTTTCAGTTCGTCGAATGCCTGCTGTTGCTCCTCGGCCCATTCGAACTTCTTGGCGTCCTTCGTGAGATTCGTAAGTGGTGCGGAAATCCTTGCGAAATCCCGAACGAAGCGTCGATAATAGGCACAAAGAATCTTCGCACGGCCTTCTTATCTGTCGGCGCTGGAAATGCCGCGACAGCGCGAGTCTTCTCGGGGTCTGGGCGGACGCCTTCGTTACTAACCACGTGGCCAAGGAACTTCAGTTCGTCATAGGCGAACCGGCACTTTGACGGCTTGAGTGTGAGTCCGGCGGTCTGAATGGCTTGAAGAACAGCTCGGAGTCGTCTCAAGTGCTCGTCGAAGTCAGCTGAAAATACTACGACGTCGTCAAGGTAGACGAGACAACTCTGCCACTTCAGCCCTGCCAGTACGGTGTCCATGACACGCTGGAAAGTTGCTGGCGCCGTGCATAGTCCGAAGGGCATCACCTTGAACTCGTACAGTCCATCCGGCGTGACGAAGGCTGTCTTCTCTCGGTCCCGTTCGTCGACCTCGATTTGCCAGTAGCCGCTCTTCAGGTCCATCGATGAAAAGTATCGAGAGTGGCGCAGCCGGTCTAGAGTGTCGTCGATGCGGGGGAGGGGGTAGACGTCTTCGTAACCGTGTTGAGCTGCCGGTAATCCACGCAGAACCGAAGAGTTCCGTCCTTCTTCTTAACCAGCACGACTGGAGAGGCCCATGGACTGCTTGAAGGTTGGATTATGTCGTCATTCAGCATCTCTTGAACTTGCTGATGGATCACCTCCCTCTCCTTAGCGGAGACTCTGTACGGCGATCGATGCACAGGGCGCGCGTCGTCCTCGGTAACGATGCGGTGCTTGGCAACCGCGGTCTGGCGCACCTTCGACGACGTCGCAAAGCAGTCGCGGTATTCGGCGAGGAGGTTAACCAGCTGACGCCGTTTAGGGTCCGGAAGCTTAGGGTCAATGTCGAGCTGCGCTGGCGATGTACTGTCTTGCTGGGGCGGCGAGGATTCGTCAGTGATCGCAGTGATTTCGGCGGGGTTTCGGAGTTTCTCGACGTGGCCCACGGCTGCACCTTTCGTGAGGTGTTGCGTTTCGTTTCGGAAGTTCGTCACGAGGGCCACAGTCCGCCCATCCTGAAGTTCAGCTACTCCCCTTGCGACGCCTATGCCTCTTCCCAGGAGCAATTGGAGGCTTCCCACGAGAAGAACTTCGCCGCAGGAAGCTTCATCGATCCCGACAAGTACGAAAACACTCGACCGCGGTGGTAGGTTTACGTGGTTTGCGAGGACTCGGACCGTGGGTAACGTCGCTTCGGGTTCCTCCGCTGCTGGAGCAGGTTTTCGTAGCGTCAGCCGGTTTGTTCCGAGGTCGATGACGGCGCCATACTCGCAGAGAAAGTCCATTCTGAGGATAACGTCCCTCGAACAGTCTTGCAGAACGACGAACTTGACAGGGCACGTTTCACCGTGGATCTCGACGCGAGCAGTGCATCTCCCGACTGGTGTGATGAGATGTCCTCCGGCGGTTCGTATTTGGGGTCCTTCCCACGGCGTCATGACTTTTCGAAGGCGGCGGGAGAGCCTCCCACTCAAGACTGAGTAGTCTGCTCCGGTGTCCACGAGTGCCGATGCGTCGTGACCGTCGATGACGACGTTTAGGTTGTTGGACACCGTTGCAGGGGCGTCGTAGCGATGCGTGGCGTCGGGAGAGTGGGAGCGCTCCGGCGTTCTTGGAGGCTCTTTACGTCGGTCGTCTTCGGCAACT